AGTCCACTGTCAGTCAAGTGGTTAAGGTCACATATTTAACAAATAACCTGGCAGCTATTGCTGCAATGTTGATTTCAACTAATGTAAATTACAAAGGAATTTTCACGCTGTGTGTTTTCTATGAGGTTTTCATAATATTGACAACTGTGAAATTCAGCAAATGGAATCAGCTAAAACCCTCTTTCCTTAGAAAAAAAATTTTTTTTTGAGTTTCTCTGACAATACAAGACCTTCCCTAAAGTGACAGGAGGTTCACATTTACAGCTGTACATGCAAATTAAACAAAACAAAGAATTGTTAACTGTTTATCCTTGTGCTATAGTCTTCAAAACATATTTGACGGTGTATGCGAACGCTGCAAATCCAATAATTACAAATATATTTGCAATAGTGCTGCCAACAAAACCATTCTCCACGTTATTCTGTCCGATTCCTGTTGCAGCTCCGGACGGTGATGTCGTCAGTGGACTCCCCGTCCGTGATTCTAAACTTCTTTTCATTTCCTCCTCTTCTTGGCGGAGTCTTTCGTTTACCTCCTGTTAAAACAATGAGAGAATAGTTTGTTATTAGTTTATACATCCAAACCAAGAACTTTGTCTAATTCTTGATGCAACTTCACTTTATCAAAAGGGGCCTGGTTAATCTGCTGAAATATAACATCAAATGAACTGGGCATCCAATCAACAAAGCAGCTTATGATGATAATTTTCTTTTATATAATCTTCTGTGTGGTGAAAATATTTAAATACGAATAATGTAGCACTGAACAAAATGGGCAATACCACAAAAAATGGGCATATAATTTTTACACACGGCAAGACTGATATAGGGTTTTGAGAGGAAGCCCCCAATAGCAAACTTGAAGAATGATCTGAAAGTAAGTAACTTGAGGCTTTTTTATCTCGCCTTCCCATTTGATAATTGTTCAAATTTCATTTTAAATATGTACAATGCACACGAAAACTAGGTTAAATAAATAAATATATCAATACATGTACCATTAAAATGGTCTTTATAGACAGGTGGTCTTTATATGGGAGGTTCATATATTTTATATAAATTTGTTCAGAAAATATTGAGATGGTACATTGTAACAAAAAACATTTATTTAATAAACAATATGATAATTAATATTTTGGGGTCGTCATAAAAGACAGTTGGTCTTTATACACAGGTAACTCATACATGTATGTTATGTCTTGGGACTGTCTAAAAGTGGTCATTATAGGCAGGTGGTCTTTATATAGAGGTGGTCACGACACAGGTTTGAATATAGTCTCTAAACACTAATAAAGATATGGATACACTTCAAAAAGTTTTCATACTTACTTCAGCTATGTCTGGGAAGATTTCAGAAAATATAGAGCTCTTTAAATTAAAACTACCACTCTGTGCAGCAAGTTGTCTTTTGGTGTGATCTGATGTCTCTATACTACCTAGAGTGGGGTTCTTTTCCACCATGAAGCTAAGGAGTCCAGTAAGGATTGTTGACACTGACCATGCTGGATTCCATGTGTCTGGGTGAAAATCACTTATCGATAGGCACAGCCTGACAACACAAAGAAATTATAAAGTGAGTTTCTTTAATGCATGTATTAATGTAATTTATAGGTTATTAACACCATCAGTAAGTTTTCGTGAGAATAGATAGTTGTTGATATGATTATGAGCTCCAACCTCCAGCCATGTTGATGTGGACATTTTCCAACACATTGGAAAACAAATCTTGTTAATTTTGCTCATTTTTTTGTAATAGTGTTGAAACCTTCTTACAAAAATGTAATTTATTGTAAGTTGTGACGTCCAGAAAAATAGTTATCCTCAGGGATGGAGCTATGTCACAAGACATTCCAAGTTGCCAAGATGCGCACCACCATTTCTATGGGCTCTGCTGCTGAGGAACGCCGAGCAACGGGCTGGTGAAAATTTGAGAAAACAACAGGAATTCAACTTTGAAGTAATCCTGAACAACCACACTTATATGCGTTACACACACAGGGGTAATCTTGTTACACTGTTCAAGGGAGTCTCAACAACCATCCCAAAGTAACGTTTTCTGCAAGTTTTTGGCCTTTGTTTTCACCGTGATAGTTGCAATGCGGTGAAAATGCCTGGATGTTCGCCCCAGAGAATAGGCTATGGAGACTATAACTACATGTACTGTGCATTGTTTTTCTTGGTCACTAACTAAAGTTCTTGTTTATAGCACTTTGTAAGTAAGGCAAGGAAGGGATTTTGATATTTGTTCTCTTATTTACCTTAAGCCTACTCATAATTTTTAGAAAGTTGGTCATGAATCACATGATATTGTTCATTGTGTAAAATGATGAAGCAATAAAATAGCATTTTTTTGTGCGTTACAGTGTCATATCTTGAAAAACTTGTCCTAATATTTTTAAAATAGAGTTATTCCATAGAGCACAATGTTAATGAAAAATTTAATTTGTTGACATTTTTCAAAACCCAGAACAAAAAGTATCCCCTCATGCACAATATACAATGTATGATTTTTTCAGCTTATGTCACCAGATTACAATTTGAGATATGGCATACTATCTCTGCCATAGAAACTTATAGAAAAAGCATTATTATAATACTGTCACAATAGTCTCTTTTCTCAAAAATAATGCCAGGAAGTACAATTTATTAGAAAATGAATAAATTCTGGGTATTTGCATATTCATGAGCTAGGCTTCTACCTTAACATTCAACTAGCTTTACAGCTAATCATGCTTTCAAAATTGCCATACATCTATAACTGCTCCATGGGATTTGTCTAAATATATTAGAAATATACTAATTAGATAAATACCACAATGAATAAGTTGAAATTATTGAGGACAATGATACTCACTTTAAAGGCAGAGTCAGCTGTAGACTGTAGTGTA